CTAACAAAAATCATTCAAATTGTTCTTTTCATAAAAGAAGTTGAAGAAAATGATTAAATCTCAAGGAATTAGAAAGATACAGAAAATTTAAAAGCAGAGAGATTAAGAAAAAATGTTTAGTGACCTATTCTTTAATCACAAGAATGTGTAAGGGAAAAAAACACAAAGACTTACAGGTTCTAGAAAATAGTGATTGCTTGAATAATGGGATGACTACATTGATGGATACTTATTTCCAATAAATGTTAGGTATTCCAAAAAAGAAGGGTCTGCCTATTGCCATAGAATACATGGATTTATTTATGTGACAAGCAAACCAAAAGAAGTGTGTTTTGGGAGGATTATAAACTTGTTGTTTTTACCCACCTTTGACGTTTTGACTCAAAGCATATTTAGAGGGAGTTTCTCAGCAAATGTTAGCAATTCTTCAGTTACTTGGGCTTCAGAGAATACAAATGAACCATTTCCCTTTAAGTAGTAACCTAGCAACTTGCTGAGGGGATTAGAACTCAAGGACCCTTAGGGACGGGGGAGGATACAAATCCCAGAAGCAGGTGCTCACTGTCCTCTGACCTCCTGGCTTATTAAAGTCATTTAAAAGTAGAGCAGATCCTGTTCAACAAGTAAAGTAAGCAGTACAAGTTCTGACTGCCTACTATGTGCCAAACATTAAATGATCTCATTTAATTGTCACAATGCTTCAAGGTAGCTATTATCTCCATTTTACTAATAATTAAATGGGTCGGGGCCAGCCCGGTGGCATAGCGGTTAAGTGTGCGCACTCTGCTGTGGTGGCCCGGGCTTCGGATCCTGGGCACACACTGACTCACTGCTTGTCAAGCCATGCTGTGGTGGTATCCCATATAAAGTGGAGGAAGATGGGCATGGATGTTAGCCCAGGGCCAGTCTTCCTCAGCAAAAAGAGGAAGATTGGCATGGATGTTAGCTCACGGCTGATCTTCCTCACACACACCCAAAAATAATAATAATGAAATGGGTTAACAGAGTTTAAGTGATTTGCCCATGACTCATAGCTAGTAAATGCCAAAGCTGGGATTTGAACCAATGACCTCAGTACAGAACCAATGTCCCAAGAATAGAGTCTTTCCACTATTATCACACAATAGTTCTGATCTGTAGTACTGTAACCTTTGAAGATAATTACAGGCTAGCCCCAGGATTCAAGAGCACTGCTTAAAATCAAAGAGGAGTGGAGATAAATGAAACTGAGAACAGAAAAACAGTAGAGAAAATAAGCAAAATAAAAAGCTGGCTCTTTAAAATGATCATCAAAATTGACAAATGTTTAGCTAGACTGACTAAGAAAAGAGAAAAGATTCAAATTACTAAAATCAGAAATGAAAGTGGGGACATTACTACTGACCTTACAAAAATAAAAAGGATTATAAAATGATACTATGAACAACTGTATACTGACAAATTAGATAAACTAAATAAAACGAACAAAATCCTAGAAACACACAAACCACCAAAACTGACTCAATAAGAAATAGAAAATACAAACAGACCTATAACAAGTAGAGGTTAAATCAGCAATCAAAAACCTCCCAACAAAGAAAAGCTAGGACTGGATGAATTCTATCAAACATTTAAAGAATTAACACTTATTAATCCTTCTCAAAATCTTCCAAAGAGGAGGAAGGCCAGCATTACCCTGATACCAAAGCCAGATAAAGGCATCACAAGAAAAGAAAACTACAGACCAATATCCCTTATGAATATAGATGCAAAAATTCTCAACAAAATACTAGCAAATCAAATCCAGCAGCATATTAAAAGAATTCTACATCAGGACCAAGTGGGATTTATCTGAGGAATGCAAGGATGGTTCAACATTAAAAAGTCAATATAATATACCACGGTAATAGAATGAAGGGGAAAAAAACATAAAATCATCTGAATTGATGTAGAAAAAGCATGTGACAAAGCCCAATACCCTTGCATGATAAAAATACTCAACAAAGAAAGAGAAGAAAACTTCCTCAGCATGATAAATGGCATTTATGAAAAACCCACAGCTAACATACTGGATGATAAAAGACTGAAAGCTTTCCCCCTAAGATCAGGAATAAGGCAAAGATGCCTACTTTCACCACTTCTATTCAACATTGTACTGGAAGTTCTAGCCAGAGCAATTAAGCAATAAAAAGATATAAAAGGCATCCAGGTTAGAAAAGAATAAGTCAAATCTCTATTTGCAAATGACATGATCTTCTATATAGACAATCGTAAAGAACAGACATACACAAAAACTATTACAGCTTATTAATAAACGAGTTCAGGGCCAGCCCCAATAGCCTAGTTTTCAAGTTCGGCATGTTCCACTTCAGTGGCCCGGCTTCAGTTCCCAGATGCAGACCTACACCACTTGTCTGTCAGTGACCATGCTGTGGCAGCAGCTCACATAAAAAAAGGAAGATTGGCAGCAGATGTTAGCTCAGGGTGAATCTTCTCCAGGGAAAAAAAACTAATGATAATTTAAAAAAATAAACACATACATAAATAAATGAGTTCAGCAAGGTTTCAGGATATAAAATCAATATACAAAAATCAATTGTATTTCTACACACTGGCAAGGAACAACCCAAAAATGAAATTGAGAAAACAATTCCATTTATAATAGCATCAAAAAGAATAAAATATTTAGAAATAAAGTTAACCAAGAAGCTCCAAGTCATGTACACTGAAAACTCTAAAACACTTCTAAAGAACTTAAAGAAGACCTAAATAAATGGAAAGACATCCTATATTCATGGACTGAAGACTTAACATTAAGATGGCAATACTTCAAAAAGTGACTTACAGATTCAATGCACTCCCTATCAAAATCCAAACAGCCTTTTTTTGCAGAAATGGAAAAGCTGATCCTAAAATTCAATGGAATTCCATGTGACCCTGAATAGCAAAAAAATCTTGAAGAACAAAGTTAGAAGACTCACAGTTCCCAATTTCAAAACTTAGTATAAAAGTACAGTAATCAAAACAATATGGCACTGGTATAAGGATAAATGTACTGCAGGGGCTGGCCCCGTGGCTTAGCAGTTAAGTGCGCCCGCTCCGCTACTGGCGGGCCAGGTTCGGATCCTGGGCGTGCACCAACGCACGGCTTGTCCAGCCATGCTGAGGCGGCATCCCACATACAGCAACTAGAAGGATGTGCAACTATGACATAGAACTATCTACGGGGGCTTTGGGGAGAAAAAGGGAAAAAAAGGAGGAGGATTGGCAATAGATGTTAACTCAGGGCCAGACTTCCTCAGCAAAAAGAGGAGGATTGGCATGGATGTTAGCTCAGGGCTGATCTTCCTCACAAAAAAAAAAAAAAAAAGGTAAATGTACTACAGATCAATGGAATATTAAGAGTCCAGAAATAAACCCATGCATCCATGGTCAACTGATTTTCAACAATAGTGCCAAGACTACTCAACAGGGAAAGAACAGTCTCTTCAACTAATCGTCCTGGGACAACTGGGTATCCACATGCAAAAGAATGAAGGTGGAACCTTATCTCACACTATATAAAAATATTAACTCAAAATGGATCAAAGACCATTTAGCTCTAAATATAAGACCTTAAACTATAAAACTCTTAGAAGAAAGCATAGGGATCATGACCTTGGGTTAGGCAATGGTTTCTTAGATATGACACCAAAAGCATAAGGAACAAAAGAAAAAATAGATAAACTGGACGTCATCAGAGTGAAAAACTTGCTCAGTAATGAGCAATATCAAGAAAGTGAAAAGGCAAACCACAGAATAGAAAAAAATACTTACAAATTATATATCTGATAAGGGTCTTGTATCCAGAATGTATAAAGAACTCATAACAACAAAAATACAAGCAACTCAATTATAAAATAGGAAAAGCCTTGAATAGACATTTCTCCAAAAAAGATACAGTGGCCAATAAGCACATGAAAAGATGCTCAATGTTATTAGTCATTAAGGAAATGCAAATCAAAACCACCATAAGAGACCACTTCACACCCACTAGTGTGGTTATAATCTAAAAACAGAAAATAACAAATGTTAGTGAGGATGTGGAGAAATTGGAACTCTCATACATTGTTGGTTGGAATGCTGCTGTCACTTAAGAAGTTAAGTGACAGTTAAGGAACTTTGGCAGTTCCTTAATAAGTTAAACACAGAATTACCATGCAACCTAGCAACTCCATTCCTAGGTATATACACAAAGGAATTGAAAACAGGTGTTCAAACCAAAACTTGTTCATGAATGTTCTTAGCAGCACTATTTACAATAGCCAAAAGGTAGAAACAACCATCCATCAACTGATGAATGGATAAACAAAATGTGGTAAATCCATACAATGGGATATTATTCAGCCATAAAAAGGAATGAAGTACTGAAACATGCTACAATATGGATAAACCTTGAAAACATTACGCTAAGTGGGAGAAGCCAGACACAAAAGGCTACATATCGTATGGGTCTATATATGAAACATCTGGAATAGGCCAATTCATATAGACAGAAAGTAGATTAGTGATTGCCAGGTACTGGGGACAAGGGAGAAAGGGTAGTGACTGGTTATTGGGTACAGGGTTTACTTTTGGGATGACGAAAATGTTCTCGAACTCGACAGTGGTGATGGTTGCACAGCACTGTGAATATACTAAATGCCGGTGAATCATACACTCTAAAATGGTTAAAATGGTAAATTTTATGTGTATTTTATCTCAATTAAAAAAATAACAATAAATAAACACATGTACATATAATTCTGAAAAAAATTCAAAGAGGAAAAACAATTTAATATGCAGAAAACAACTGAAGAAATCATAAATAATCCTTTCAAGCATAACAAATTAGTAGATTTTCGCATGGCCAAGGCCCTTTCTCTATCTATATGTGATATCAATTTCTGCAAGACAAGGTTCTCAGGGCCACGCCCAGCCCTGCCCTCTGTGAGGAGGTCATACCCACCTCCAATTACTTGAATATTGTTGTCCTTTGTCAGAACAGCATCAGCATGGAACACCAAAACTGGAATTCTCCTGCAGCCTCCAGTCCACATGATACATGGATGATCCCTGCAACCGTAATAAAAGGCTTTATTAATTCACAGCTCAAAATCTGAATTACCAGCTGAAGCAGATCACTGCGGTTTGCTGCTTAGCAACTTTCCCCTCCTTTTGGCATAAGAACCCCAAACGTCCTTTGGGAAACCATTACTCTCCCATTCTTAAGCATGTGGTTTGTTTAAGATTAATTCCATCCCTGCTCCAGGGATAGGCCTTGACTGGTTTCAGCCAATCAAGGTATTCCACCCCCCAGTTATAGTGACTGGTTCAGGGATGAACACATAAACCAATCGGAGCCAGTGAGTGTCAGGAGACAGGTTGTGAGACCCTCTGAGAAAGCGATGCTTTCTTTCTCTTCTATAGCAGCTACAAGGGAGACGGCCTCTCTTCCCCTTGGTGGTGTAAGGGCATGAGAGGTCTGGAAGTGCAACTGTCATTTCGTGACCTGGAGAGGAGAGCATGGAGCTTTGGTAGAAGAGGGAAGTCAGTGGAGCCTGAATGAAAGAATGAGAGAAGTGAGATCCTGAGCGGCAAATGTGGAGTTACAGAAACAAGACTTTCCTAAATATGAGTAAATAAATTCCTTTCGTTATTTAGGACACTTTACTCCCCAGCACACATAAAGAATGCTAACTAATATATTCACAATAATTTATATACCCCTTTTACACCCTATAGTTCTTTTTTAAGCCAATTTGATGGCCCATCCTAAGATTCTGAGCTAGGAACCCTAAATTAATACAAGTTTCCCAATTAAAACCACGTATTTTCAAGAAAGCCTATACTAAATGGAACAATAGACAGTTTCCTTCAGAAAAGGACCCCTGACTTTATTCTCTTACTCTATCCTCAGGAAATCTCAGATTAATCAATCTTAGACACATGTATATTTACTCACAGATTAGGAAAATTTTCAACCTCCTTAATGCAGGGAGGTAGAAAGGGAAAGAAATGAACTGAGTCCCTACACTGTGCCAGGAATTAAACTAAGAGCTTTTACATGTTACCTCACTTAATCATCTTGCCGCACTATGAACTGAAGAAAAGGTGTCTCAGAGAGGTTAAGTAATTTGCCCGAGGTCACACAGCTGGTTAAGTAATGGAACAGGTATGTGAAAATAAGTGTCTGTTCTTTCTACCCTTCCATCTCCCGAGTCACATTTCGGTGATGTTCTGTATATGGATCACCTTAAACCCAACTCTTTGGGGACTGAATCAATTCCTTAAAGGGAATAAGATGCATTTAACCAAGATTCAGGCTGCTCTCAAAAACTCACATGACCACACCCCGTAACAAAGTCCATACCACAAATCTCAGGGCTAAGTCAGACTCTCCCAGCCCAAGTTTTTAAAGATCCAAATTTTGAGGGGCTGGCCCCATGGTTGAGTGGTTATAGTTCTGCGGGCTCCACTTCGGCAGCCCAGGTTCACGAATTGGGATCCCAGGTGCGGACCTACGCCACTCATCAGACATGCTGTGGAGGCATCCCACATACAAAAAGTGAGGAATATTGGCGCAGACGTTAGCTCAGAGCTAATCTTCCTCAAGCAAAAAAAGAGGAAGATTGGCAACGGATGTTAGCTCAGGGCAAATCTTCCCCATCAAAAAAAAAAAGATCCACAATTTGAATGCACAGGCTGCCAGGCTACCAATCTTAGAAGTAAGGCAGCCTTTAGACCTGGCATGAGCTGCCAAAAGCCTTTTAGTGAGGAAAACAAAGAACACCACACCTAGTTCATCTCCTGTTTTCTAGAAATGGAATGTGGATGCTAATTGTTCTTACTCTCTGACTTGGATGATAGTGTCCACTTGTGAGAAATGGTGTTTACAGGGTGCATTTTTTTTTTTTTTTTGTGAGGAAGATCAGCCCTGAGCTAACATCCATGCTAATCCTACTCTTGGAAGACCGGCTCTGAGCTAACATCTATTGCCAATCCTCCTCCTTTTTTTTTTCCCCAAAGCCCCAGTAGATAGTTGTATGTCATAGTTGCACATCCTTCTAGTTGCTGTATGTGGGACGCAGCCTCAGCATGGCCAGAGAAGCGGTGCGTCGGTGCGTGCCTGGGACCCGAACCTGGGCTGCCAGTAGCCGAGCGCATGCACTTAACCACTAAGCCACGGGGCCGGCCCATACAGGGTGCATTTTTTAGCAAGAAGGATTTTTTTGGTGGTTTTCATGCTTTTAAAACTTAAACATCTATAAAATCAGGGTAAGGGGCCAGATGATTCCTATGATCTTTTCCAACTTTAATTTTTCTACTATATTTCTAAGTCAGAGGACCGAGAAATAATAGGCAGCCTAAATTACCAAGTCTTAGACAGAAACTTTGGAAACTATTCAAAGTTCCTTGTCAATCTAGCACTAGCTACACACTGGCACCACTGTCTTAGCACTCACAACCAATGGATTACTGCTACCAGTTAGAAATTCCTGACAACAGTCAGGAACACAACACAGTCATGCACCGCATAACGACGTTTCAGTCAACAACAGAGTGCATATATGATGATGGTCCCATAAGATTAGTACCATATAGCCTAGGTGTATAGTAGGCTATGCCGTCTAGGTTTGTGTAAGTACGCTCTGTGATGTTCACACAATGATGAAATCACCTAATGACACATTTCTCAGAACGTATCCCCATCATTAAGCGATGCATGACTATAAACAGATACACAGCTGAGAAGAGCCAAGATCCTAACCATACTATCTGTGGAAAGCCAAATCTCTGACAGAGAAATCTTTCCACTTACAACCTATGAAAAGATAAAAGAGGTAGGAGACAAATTATTCACTAAGGTCAACCAAAACACATTTAAGGTAGATGCTAAATTGTTATGAAAATCATGTGTCCACCAGGTGGTGCTAAAGGGAAAGACTCAAAATGATTAGGAAACTGGAAATTGGGACCTTACATTTTCATTCACACTAGAAACTGGTATATATTAAGAAAATATAATTCATGAGAGTCATGAAAAGACCAAGGATGTGAATGATTAATTACTGAAGTAGACCAGTTTTATGGTTCACTTTATTGAAAGCCTAAGAACGTTTTGGTTTTTAAGAAGCAATTTCACTAGGAATATATATTATTCACTCCTGGGATCCAGCCTGTATAACTTAAAGCTTCTATGCCTGACTCATACCAACATCCCCGCTGGAAATGCCTTCCCCACTTCTCTGTCCATTTAATCCCACTCTCCAAGGCCCAGCCCATCTCACCACATCCGTGGACGTTCCCCAGCTCCTCCAGCCACAGTGATGCCTTCCTTCTGTAAAATCCTGTAGCACTCATTTGATAATCATTTGTTTTGATGATCTTTTATTTTTTCCATGTAAATGCTGGTGATCCTTTTAACTGATATAAACCCAGCGTTTATGATAGGAATTAAGGTTACTATTTTTCCCGTGACTAAAGAAACCTTACATCAAATCCTTTTATGAGGGCCGGCCCTGTGGCTTGGTGGTTAAGTGCGCGCGCTGCGATGCTGGCGGCCCGGGTTTGGATCCAGGGTGCGCATCGAGGCACCGCTTCTCCGTTCATCCTGAGGCCGAGTCCCACATACAGCAACTAGAAGGATGTGCAGCTATGACATACAACTATCCACTGGGGCTTTGGGGAAAAAAAAAAAAAAAAAAAAATTAAAAAAAAAAAAAAAAATCCTTTTATGAAAGTTTCCACATCTATTTATGAATTTGTATTTGGGATGCCCAAACAAAATATAGAAAAAGAGCCCCTTGACATTTATTATCTGAAATAATGCCATGCAAAACAAGGACTTTCTGAACAGTTTCTAGCCCTGAAGTCCAGGATTGCAAGGCATTAACACTTTTAACATGGCCTATGGATCTGAGCAGATCTAACAGATATCCATGGATCTTTAGATCAAATCAACATCCTTAGATGATTTAAGACCTTCTAATTTCCAAACCTTTTTAAATGTAAGCCTACTGCCCTAAATCTGAACAAGATTGACTTAAGATCTGTTAAGTGACTGACAGACAAGACATGAGGTGACAGAACGAGATTAACAGTCAAAAATCAACAGTAGTGGAGTGAAGTCAGCATCATGGTGGAGGGAGCTGTTCTCCTAGGCTCTCCCCACTAAGATACAACGAAAAGGACATTCATTAACCAACAGAGGACATCCACATAACACAACAGATATCTGAGAGATCCACGCAGCCATATGTCTGAAGGCAGGGCTGCTGGACCACCAGGAGGGCAGTGCAAGGAGGTAAGGGGATCTCCTCCCCCGGCCCAGGGGTAGCGATCTAGGGTGCAAGACCTCACATGGTGGCCAGCACATGACTCTGAGGGGAGAAAGGGGAAAAGGCAGCTCTCCGCAGGCATTCTTTCCACTCTTGGAGTTGCTTCCCAACCCACAGGAACAGTCCACACCGAGGTGGCTAAGCCACCCCAGGGGCACTCTCACCAAGCAAAGCAGCTGAGGTGGGCAGCCACCGAGTGCAGAGCGGTAGCGTGGGTGGGAAAGAAGGCGTCCCTGTCCCCCATCCCACCTGGCGCACCAGCTTGGCTCAGTTGGGCAGGGCAGGGGATCCCCGCCAGAGTGCCTCCACGTGTGTGTGTGAGGCAGCAGTGGCCAGAGAGAGAGAGCCCTATCAGCACAACTTCCAACAGAAAGGGACAACTGCCAGGGGTCACAGCAGGCTCAGAAAACGCAGCTCCTGCCCCTCCAGTGGTAGCAGGTGGAATCTGCGACCAGATACTACCACTATGTGATGGCAAAGGTCCACCCCATCAAACAGCATGAAGAAATATATTAACATTCCAGACCAGAAGGAAAATGACAAGTATCCAGAAACCAATCCTGAAGTCATAGAAATTTACAAACGAAATGACAGAGAATTCAAAATAGTTATCATAAAGAAACTCAATGAATTACAGGAAAACTCAGAAAGACAGTTCAATGAACTCAGGAATAAAATTAATGAGCTGAGAGAATTCTTCACAAAAGAGATTGAAATTATAAAAAAAAAAAAAAA